GAAAAAATCTTAAGCATGCAAATGACTCTCATAAACCTAATATTTCAAGCTTTTAAATGTGTCAAATCAAGTTATCTTAAGGATTTCAATATTGTTTACAAACATAATCAAATTATCCTATACCTTTCAGCTTCAAGTTACAAGTCAAAAATCAATTACACAATTCAATCTGAAATCACAAGACTAATCTCTCAGATTCTCTAGTATGCCAACTTCTCTTAAATATTACACACACATTAAAAACACACACACAGACTATCTCAGTCTTCAGAAATCTTTTCCCTTAAGGGGGCACCTGGGAGGCTCAGTCTGTGGAGCGTCTGACTCCTGGTTTCTGCCCAGGTCATGTTCTCTGGGATCGAGCTCCTCATTGGGCTCCTCACTCAGCAGGGAGTCTGCTTGTCCCTCTCCCTCTGCTCTTCCCCCTGCTCACCCTCACTCTCTCAAATTAATAAATAAATAAAATCTCAGAAAAAGAACAAAAGACAAAACTCTTTTCCCTAGGGGCACCTGGGTCACTTAGTCATTAAGGGTCTGACCCTTGATTTTGGCTCAGGTCAGGATCTCTGGGTCTTCTCTGAGATAAAGCCACCCTCCGGGGTCTGTGCTGATTAGGAAGTCGGTTTAAGATTCTCTCTCGCCCCCTTCCCCTACTCACACACACTCTCTCTCTCTCTCTAAAACAAAACAAAACAAAACAAAACAAAACAAAACAAAACATCTTTTCCCTAACCTTACACAATAAAGTAACATTATGGACTTCTTTTTATATAGCATTTTCCTTTCCAAGGTGGTAAAAACGTTTTCTGTTCATAGTTTTCTTGCCACAATTCTACAATCATCTTATTGATTTGTCCCAACAATGAAAGAAAAGTCTGATAATTATCCTTCTAAATGTAAACCTAGATTTAAACAAAATGAATCAGTGTATTAATTTATATTATTTATCTATGCAAAGGAACAAAACAACACTTGTGATAGAGTGAATGATGTAACCAACTATTATCTGATACCATCCTATTCTTTCTGTGTATACTTCTTTTTTTGCTTCATCTGTAAAATGGGCATAGCAATTTCTGTCTTAGAAAACTGCACAGCCAAACAAGACATCTGTCATAAGCACAATAACTCAACATATGTTCATTTCTTCCTTTCTCCTTTTCTGACACCACAATCTTTCCCCAAAACTCAGATTAAAGTGGAGAAATTCTAGGGTCTCTCTTTCTTCTAAGCGTAAGGGGCAGGCAATTCTGTGAAACAGAAGAAAAATTACTTTCTCCGGAGGGGTGCCCCCTTCCTCACTCTGATCCCTCCACTGTCCACAGTGGGGTTTTGAAATAATTTACTGCTTTAAAAAATAGAAAATTAGGGGTGTCCATCTGGCTCAGTTGGTGGAACATACAACTCTTGATTTCAGGGTTATGGGTTCAAACCCGTGTTGGGCATAGAGATTACTTAAAAAAATAATGTATAAATTTGTATCTCATATTTAAAGGATATGTTAAGGATTTTAAGGTCATGTGAAGACAATCTGTTCCATTATGCTATACACTACACTATATATCTCCATACACCCAGGAGGATTTCCCCACACCCTTACCAGGACAGCACTTGGCTTTGAGCCTACACACAACCCTTCTCTTACACGGCTCAGTAGCAGCGTTATTCAGGTTCCTGGAAACCTTGTTCTTTCTCAGCAGACATGGGAATCCACATCTCTAAGTCCCACCCAGGGCTTCCCTTGCACTCTGATTCACAGTATCCATAATTCCGAGATGCAGAGCATGCCAAATTCACCCCGCCTTTCCCTGGTGTGGTTCACCTGAGAAAACGTTCCCATGCTGGAGGAAGCCTTACCATCTGCCGGAAATGAACTGGAGAAGCTGCCCTCAGTAAGGTCAGAGATAAGGGGGTCAGATCAAAACATGAGAAGTTTGGTGAGTGCAGCTCCCGGGGAAGTCCATCATCACAGAAGTCTGAACTTTGCAAAAGGAGTTTCACCCTGGATGTGATGCAGCAGGCAACTTTGAAGAACTGTCTTCATGCTGTGTTCTTAGCCAAAGCTAGGAAAAGTTGAGGTATTAGGCACCAGGAATGATTCCAAGATTGCAGAGCAAGAAACAAGATGAATGGAACTGAGAGGTATTGTGATTTGTCTGTCGATTTCAACAATGGATGCCCAAATGTTACTCTCCAGATGTCATACACGCCTCCACATCCTCACAAGCATCCATTTGGTTGCCAAATCTCAGGTGGAGGGAGACTCTGTGGCTTTAGTCCCTTCAGCCATTAAGTGACTTCTCAGAAAAATCCGGTTTCGGCTCACATTAGTTCAGCACCTGATCTGGGTCTTGCGACACTGCCCTTCTACTGGATCATTCACACAGTTTGCTGGGGATCTGCTACCAGCCATGTGCTCAATAGGCTAGATCACTGCTTTTTGTTCCCTTATGATCTGGTGGGCTGAATCCTCTCTCCCTCCCCCGCCCCCTGCATTTTTAATATGCCACTAGTTTGGTGTTCACCTTTTTTTTTTTTTTTAGATGTTATTTATTTATTTGACAGACAGAGATCACGAGCAGGCAGAGAGGCAGGCAGAGAGAGGGGGGGAAGCAGGCTCCCTGCTGAAAAGAAAGCCCAGAGGTGGGGCTGGATTCCAGGACCCTGACATCATGACCTGAGCTGAAGGCAGAGGCTTTAACCCACTGAGCCACCCAGGCGCCCCTGGTGTTCACCTTTTTAACATGTCCAGCAATTGGTGAATCTACCCCAGAAGCTGGGTTTGCTGGTTTTCTGGTTCTTTTTTTTTTTTTTAAGATTTTATTTATTTATTTGACAGAGAGAGATCACAAGTAGACGGAGAGGCAGGCAGAGAGAGAGAGAGAGGGAAGCAGGCTCCCTGCTGAGCAGAGAGCCCGCCGTGGGCCTCGATCCCAGGACCCTGAGATCATGACCTGAGCCGAAGGCAGCGGCTTAACCCACTGAGCCACCCAGGCGCCCGTGGTTTTCTGGTTCTTTTGGACACTTCCAGAAATCTTTGGTAACTCCATTCCATCTCTCTCTCTCTTCCTCTCTGTTTCTCTTACACACACATACCCACCCACACACGCAGGATTAGAGTGAATTAAATCCATATTTTACAAGTGTCTTTGATCAGGGGCCTTTACATCTGAGGTGTGTACAACGGAGCAGGATATGGGGGCGGGGTTTTTTATTTTAATTAACCAATGAATTCATCTTGATTTTTTTTAATGCGATTCAGATGGTTAGGTCATAAAAACCTACATTCAAGTCACTGAGAGGTTTGGGCAAAGGGAGGATTTTCTTGTTCAGATGGACACCTAGTAACCTAAAATAAAACTTTTTTTCAGAGGAGGTAAAACTGCAGGCACAGAAAGGTACACTGTGGGGTGGGGCGGGGAGGCGGGGAGCCTCTGGGTACAAGGCAAGGCAGGTTTTATACTCCCCACGCCTTCAGGATAGAGTTCCAACTCCTTCCTTAGAGAGGCAGGGAAAGCCACAGCTCCAGCCACTGCCCACCCGCCTTTCCCCCAGCCATAGAAATACCGGCTCTTCCAAAAAAGGTCCTCAAGCTATTCTCAAAAACCCCGCGGGAAGACAGTGGGAGGTGCACCCGGAGGCCCCGCCCACCAGATGGCACTCTGGCGTAATCGGCCCGGCGACGGCCATCTTGGATTCAGGCAGCCCGCCCACCTCTGTGGTCTTCATATTCGTGGGGCGGTGGCGCGGCGGCTGCGTGCTGTGGGCAGAGAGGCGAGTTACCCCACCTCCCGGCCTGAGCCTTTGGCTGTCCTGTGCTGGAGACCAACGGCCCCGGGCCGCACCTGGCCGGGTCTCTACGTAAAACCGCTGGCCAGTATCCCCGTGGCAAGTGCCAGCTCCCGCCCTTTCTACCTGGTGACTCTGGGCAGGTACCTCAGTTTTATCTGTGAAGTTGGAGCTTAAGCCCCAGCCCCACCTCCCAACCCACCAGGTCACCAGTCATAATACCTACCGATCAGGCGTGTATGACAAATTCTCAGCAGGAGGCCTGGCCCGCGGGGTGTGTGTCCCCTGCAGGTTGTCTGGGAGCTTTTCTGGAGATTGCTTTGTAGCCGCCACCCCGCCAGCCACCACTGTAGGGCGAGGGAGCCGGGGGGGCGGGGCGGGGGGCTTGCCATGACTGCAGTCTACCTCGACTCTTTGAAGACCCAAGTCCAAAGGGAGAGGAGATCGGCAAGATGCCCTTAGGGAGTGACAGTGAAGCCCCGCAAGAACTTTAGGACTTGCATGTGACCATTTTGGAAGGATGTCAGAAACACAGACCAGGGTGCCCGGGACTGGAAAGACTTGGGAACATTTGAACGCCCCCATGCTTGTTATTTTTATCACCTCTAGCTGCTTTCCCATAGGGACTCTGATGCAGCACAGAATTCCTGGACTGAAAAGCCGTGTGTGTGTGTGTGTGTGTGTGTGTGTGTGTGTGTGTGTGTGTGTGCGTGCGCGCGCGCGCGCAAACGCGCTAGATGTGGGGAACATGGGGAGGAGGGGGCTGAGACACTGTGTCCTAGCTGAGCCAGGTGTGGGAGAGAAGGGCTTTCTGGGCCCCGCATGGATGGCAGGCCCCAGGGAGGGGCATTCACATCAGGCCCCAGGTGGCCTCTGGGATTCCCCAGACATACACAACTGTTCCACCAGTTCCATAGCCAGGGCCCAGCAGTTTGGAGTCCCCCCAGCCTCCTAAGGGGTGGGAAACCTGCCTGGGACACAAAGATGAGGGAGGCACCTGGAGAAGGGTCTAGGAGAGGTGGGGAGGGGCCAAGGCCTTCTAGGGAGCTGGGGCCTGGGAGAGCCACAAGCAGCTTTTACAGGATTGTGAAAGCCTAATAGGAACTCTTATTCAGTAACAAACCCGCTGAACACCAGGCATGCGCAGGTTCCCCCAACCTAGCCTGGTGGAGAAAGAGGTAGTAGAGGATACAAAAATAACCACATGGGAATCAGGGGATTATAGTTTATTTTCAGATTTACTCAGAGCGGTGAGGGCTGACCAGTGGGCTCCATGTGCATCCCCTTCTTGCATTTGGTTTAATCAAAAACTTCCCTCTCCCTACCTCCAAACCTCTAGGTTGTGCACGATAGACAAGGCCTTTCCACCCTGACCCACAGGAGGAGATTAGGCAGGTGAGGAGTGTGGAGAGTGGGAGTAGGGTAGGGGGGGTAGAGTTCAAGTATTCACAGTTTCCCCATCCACACCCCCTGATTACACTGTGCCCAGGCCATGAGGGAGGATCCCAACTCTGGGGTTCCTAGTGACATTAACAGCTCTTTTCTCACTCAGAAACCTCAAGATGAGCTCCTTACCCCCTTTCCCTGACAATAACAAACAAGTCCTAAAGTCTAGTCTGGGCAAGGAGGGGACTTCAGGTCTCCACTTACCCAAGATCCCTCCTTCCTTATCTGGAGTGATGGGGGCAGGGTGGGCTTCACTTGTAGTGAACAGGTTGGGTTGAAGTGGTAATAGGGGAGGAGAAGGGAGAGAACTGAGGGTCTCGGGAGGCAGGCTGGGGGGGGCCAATGAAGTTCTCACAGCTCTGGTCTATACCCCCACTCCCTCCCCATCCCACACCCAGGCCCAGAATCCCTGAGAGTCCACTGCAAAGGCAATATGGGTAGGGGGAGTGGGAGCAGGGGGAGAGCTTAGGAAGGGTCAGGACTGGGCTCCAGGCCCAGCAATCAAACTCTGACCTTCTAGAACAGCTGAGTCCTGGGGCGCACAGGGTGACCTACGAACCCCCACTTCCCAGGCATCCTCGCTTGGGCAGAGTGGTGGGAATGGGGGGTGGGGAGAGTCCTTCCAAGGGCATTATAAAAAGATATAACCATTAAAAATTTGGAGGGAAGTGACTCTCAGCCTCTTGCTTCCCCAAGTTGTCAATCTCCTCAGCACCCAGGAGACACAGCTGAAGGAGTCCCAGAGAGCTGAGGAAGAAGGCTACAGCCCCTCTCTGACAGGATGGGCCCCAGAGAGGGGGGTCATTAGCACCATGCAATGTTGGGGCACCCCGGCAGCCTGACTGACCCCTGGGCAGGGGCCCTCCTAAAGCTTGAGTGCCCCACTTGCTAAAGCTTCTGTATTCTTGAGTGGGGGGAGCCCTGCAGGGGAGGGGATGAGGGGAGAAGGCTTGGCTGAAGTCCAGGCAGGGGTACTTGGACTCCCCCTGGGAGTCACGATTTGAAGAATCTTCGTACCACAAACTGGCCCAACAGAACCACAGACAGAACTATCAGCACGTTCAGGATGGGGCCATTTCCCAAGTTCAGGGCTGCCACCTGCCAGGAGAGACAGAGTGGTCACTGAGGGATGGACAGCCAGCACAGGCTCGCCAGGGCAGAGGCGGGGCTGGGAGAGCGGCCACACTTACCCAGCCGCCCCTCTGCGCAATCCACCGGGCAATGCAGTGATGCAGCATGAAGTCAGCCACGAAGCGGGTCACCTGGCCCAGGAAGCCGGTCAGGCCATGCTGGTAGATGTGGAGGGCCAGGCGGTAGCCAAAACCCAGGAGAGCCACCACGCGGCCCCAGTTAATGCCACTCTCGAACAGGCTGCGGGCAGAGGGGCGATGCTGTCAGTGGAGAACCCCAGGAGGCCCCCACGGCCTGCTCATCCTCTCCCACTGTCTGGTGGCCACCCGCCCTGCTCCCAGCTGGAAAGCAAAACGGCCGAGCCGTGAACCAAAGTGGCAGAGGCTGCTCCAGCTGGGCCTCAATCTGGGAAAAGCCTGCATCTCTGTGAAAGGAGGAAACTCAGAGGGCCTTTGAGCAGGCTGGTGCTGCTGGGTTGTGGCCGTGAGTGCCAACAGGCGGACAGCAGGGAGGGCAGGACAAGCGGACAGAGGCAGCAGGGAGATTACCTGTGGCGGACGCTGCTGGCCTGGCAGCCCAAGAGACAGCAGAGAGAGAAGGACAAAGAGGAGGTTAGGACAGGTCCTGGAACCGGAGTGGGGAGGGGGCGGCCTCGAAGGACATTCGGGCTCTGAGCGTCTGTTGTCTACCTTCACCCCGGCGTCAGTCCCCTCGAGGCTGACTCCTAACCCAGATTTAACAACAGATGACACTAGTAAGGACGGCCACCATTCTGAGCCCACTTCCTCTATTTTATAGACACAGGGCCTGATGGCCAGAGGGTTTCACAAAGCCCGTTAAGTGGCAAAGCTGAGATTGGACCCAGGCACGTGGTGTCTTTAACCACTGTCCACTGCCTCTCAGACACAAGATTGTAGCAAAGGGACATGAGCATTTCTGGAACATGAGCAACCGGACTGTCTTTGGCAGGAGTATGATTCCGAACTGAAAGGACAGCTGTGTCTCAGTGGGACTGGGGAACTCTGGGGACAGCCCCATTCTGGGCACCTCTCTAGTCCCAATCTAGCCGGTCAAGTCCTCAGTACCCCAGCTCACAAGAGCTGTGAGCTTCTACCCCAAAGAGGAGGCGTCTGGGGCCCAGAGAGAGAAAGACAGGGGCCCGAGCCCATGCGTGAGCTAACAGCAGATACGGGAATGGCACACACATCTCTTGATGCTGACAGAGAAGCATGTCTCCCATCCCAAAGGCGGGACACGGTGTGAGGGCAACAGCACAGCGGGGAGGCCAGGGGCCAGGGCTACCTCGAGGCAATCTTGATGAAATACTCATAGGCGTTCTCCACTGTTGGCTGCAGGTGCTGCAGCATGGCCTGGAACTCGGAGTCGTAGCGCTGGTTGATGTCGTCCCCGATGATGGCAAGCTGCCGACCCACCTGCCCCATGGTGCTGGAGGAATGGGAGCCAGGTAGGTGAGGAGGCCCAGCGTGGGCAGGGCTGGGGCCTGGGCTCACGGACAAGGGGTTCCACCCAAGATGCCCCCGGCCTTGTGGACCCCTCCCTGGAGGTTCCTGACAGTGTTCTGACATGAGGGCCAAGGCCAGGGTCACGGGACAGGCATGTGCTATAAATGGTGCAAGGCCCCAGCGGGGGGTGGAAGCCCAAAATGAAAAAAAAAGGCAATGATGGGAGAAGGACAAGACCACCCCCCTTCTACCCAGCCTCCCCAGCTCCCCAGGCCTGCTGGGCATTGACTCCATATGAACCTCCACTTCCCTGAAGATGTTCCTGTGGGCCGAGGGGCCTCTTGCTCACCTGCTAGGTTCTAGGGACAAGGAGACCATTTCTGGGTCAGCAGGCGCAGCCGCCCCCTCAGCCTCCTGCTCCTGCCGATGGCGGTAAAAAACATAGCTGCGGAAAACCTCCTCAGTGTCCCGGGCTACCTGCTCCTCTGAGAATCAAAGCCAGGAGTCAGGGAGGACGGGCTGGACCGGGCAGCCCCATGCTTTGTGCATGGGTCACTCTTCGAGGCATCAGCTGTCCACACCCATGGGCAGAAGCATCCCTAACTCTAGTCCTCAGTTAACACCCAGTGCTGCCTGTGTCCAGGATAACCCTCACCACGGCCTTGTGGAGCAGGGGAATCCTAGTTTACAGATGGGCAAGCTGAGACGCAAGGTCACATGGTCAGAAAGAGCCAGGATGTAAGCTGGGCATGTGGGATTTTCAGTGTGTTTGAGTGGGTACAGGTACCCGGCCCTGATGGCCCAGGGAATGTGGAGAAACAGAATTTGAAATTGTAGCTCTGTGCCTCGAAAAGTCACATAGGTACATAGGGACAGATGGGGCACTGAACCCAAAGCCCCTGAAGCAGTCTGTAATGGGCTGGGGACTCCAGGCGTCTCTGATGGTCCCCTCTGGAAAAGGGAAGAAAGGCAGCCATCTTACTTCCTCCCCAAAGTCGTAACAATCACTTTCGCCAGTTAGCAGGCCTGATGGGGTGATATGTCTAGGAACTTCCTTCTTTCTCCTAGTGGAGGAATAGAATAGCCACACCCCACTCTACTGGCCTCTCTTCACCCCTTCCTGCTCCTCTTCCTTGGGATGGCGCTGTACCTGCCTCATACTCCCTCCCGGGCCTCTCCTAGCCTCTCCCCCTCTAACCCCAGGCCCAACCTCCTCCCCGCTCCCAGGGCTCAACCTGGACTGCACTCCAGCTTCTTAGGCCACCTGTACTGGGTGGGAAGATGCCTTCCTCCTTTATCCGAGGTGAGTGAACGGGGGAGGAGAGCCTGCCTGTTAGTCCTGCCTGGTCCTGACCCCTTCTGCTCTCACCACCCTCTCAGACAGCCCTGGTGGTTCTGGGATGGGCAAAGGGCAGAGAGACCCTTACCAGAAGTAGAAGATGGGGCCGGCTCTCCACACCCCTGCCTGGGAGGACCGGGGCCTTGCCCGGATGCCATTTCTCAGGTCCCAGTGGAGGACAGGGTTAGCCTGTGGGGATGGGTGAGAGAAAGCCATGATGGGGATGGGCAGGGGCTGGTTGACGAGAGGGTCCCACAGCCACAGAGAGAGGAGGGGGTTCCCCACTCCCCAAAGACCCACGGTCCTAGCTCCAGCCACCTCTTAATTTCACAACCTTGGGTCCCTGTGGCGTCTGTGGGCAGAATCAGAACTTCCTGAGCATTTCACTAGCAGTCCTTCCAGAGAGATGGAGAAAGGCAGGGCAGTCTGGATTCATACCTAGGGTCCTGGACCCAGGGCCGGGGTGGGGGGGAAACACCAGCAACACCCTCGTGGATCTCAGGTCATAATTCACCTCACTCCTGGGCAAATGAGGCAAGTTTTAGAGGCTGTGGGTTCTTTCCACTGCTCCTGGGACCTCCTGCACCCTACCTAGCACGCACTTACCACAGGATTGCCACCTTCTAACTAATGACCCATGAAAGCTGTGCTCGAAGGTTCCACTTCCCCTTGGCTGGTCAGAGCACGCCTGTTTTCCAAGTCAGGCCTCTTGGCCACAGACATTTCCTGAGTGCCAAGCCTTACTTACTTCCATCTCCAGGGGTGTCAGACACTGAAAATGCACATGAACCCAGCAAGGTAAGCATCATCATACCCATTTTACTGGGGGGTGGGGGGGGGGAAAGTGAGGCACCAAGAAGTTAGGGCCTGAGGGCCACTTAGCTAATCAGGGAGTCGAGTTGGTTATCTGAATTTTCATCACTTCATACCTTCAGTACTCCTTTAAGATTTATTTTCCAGTTTGTGGTTATCTGTTAACATCCCACCTGTGCTCTACCCATTCCTGTGTTGCAGTGAGCTGAGGAAGCTGTCTCTGCAGTACCCTCCTTCACGCCCCTCCTCCACCACACCGCATACCTGCTCTCCTGTCCCCGGCCCGTTTTCCTCTTTGCTTGGTCCTGGCCACAGCCCCGGTCCTGGCCACAGCCCCGATCTGCTCTGTGAACCCTTGACACAGGGAGTATTTCCTGGACGTGAACTGTTTCACTTTCAATTTGCACCCCTTCATACCCACCCCTCCCAAAGCTGCCTCCATCAGCCTTTTGGGGAAGTACCCCTCCTCCCACCGGGGACCGGGGACCAAGCACAGCCACTGCCTTCTCTCAGGGAGGACCTGAGTACCCTCCCCACCTTCCTCCTGCCTTTGGCCTGGGGCCATTTTCAAAAGTGCCCCAGGGCAAGAGGTCTCAAGAAGGGGTGGGGGAGAGCACTCCACCCCTCTACTTACTGCGGGCAGGGAGAAGAAGAAAGAAGGGAGAAGGCAGACCCTCCCCTCCTTCAGCCCTGCCTGCCAGCAAGAAACAGACCTTTGCTTGGCACACCCCCATCCCTGCTGCTCCTTCCGGAAAAAGATGCCCTTCCCTCTTCCGTGGTACCCCGCCCCGCACCCCCCAGCAAACCCGGCACCCCTGGGACAGCAGGACCGGAAGATGCTGACTGCACCCCCAACTCCATCGACCCCTACCCAAGGGGGTCGCAGCTGGGGAGTAGGTGGGGGCGTCAGAGATGTCCCCAGGACCAGAGGCCTCTGCCGCCCTGGGCCTACCCCTGCCCTCATCCAAGTGGCCTGACTTCCTGGTAAGGGGAGTTCCCTGCTCTCCACTTGCCAGGACCAGGATGTTCCCAGAGGGAGATGCCTGGTTGGGCGGCAGACCCAGTCTAGGGCTCCTGGGGCAGCAGGAAGCACCATGAAAGTTCTCTCCCTGCCCCTGACCTTGGCTCTGACCTCCACTCCCAACCCCCCAGACTGCTAAAAGACCTGACTCTTTAGCACCCAATTCTTTGGCTCCCAGGGCCCGGGTAGGGCCAGGGCAGGGCCGGGAATGGGAGGGGAGGCGGGGGAATTGTCTGAGGGGCATCCAGAGGGAGTCCGGACTGGATCAGGTCCCCAGCAGGAGCTGGTGGACCTGCCCAGATAAGTCTCCAGACCTCCCCTTCCGCACCCGGCTGCCTGCCGGCTCCCTGTATCCCCACCCCAGGGTCTGGGGCTGCCAAAAGCTGGAAGGATGGACAAGACCCTCCCACCTTACCTGCCCGGACCTTAGCCCGGGCCCGGATGGCTCACAGGGCCGAGGCCAGAGATCCTGAGGGCCCAGCAGCTGCTCCCGGGGGGATTGGGGGCCCAGGCCCGGCTTCCAGGAACAGGGGTGAGTGCAGTCCTGGCGTTAGACACAGCCTGCGCTTGTCCCGGCGCTGCCCCAGGGACCCGCGAGGCCGCGGTGATCCTAGAGGTGCCGGCGGCTCCTGGTTCCAATCAGCTCCCTCTAGAGGAAGCTGCTGTGAAGCCGCCGGATGCGGATGCGGGACCCACAGCTTGGGGGTCGGTCTTGGCTCCTGGGCGGGAGAGACGCTCCACCCCCCACACTCGGCCGCACTCAGCGGGCATGGCTCCCCTTCTCCCACTCCTGCTGTCTGACCTGCACCCCCTTTCATCAGTCAGTACCAATAAAAAAGCCAGGAGGGCAGAGTTTCTGAAGCGCCACAGTGTGCTTTGCACTTTGGCGACAGGGCCCTTGTCCCGTGGAATTTTCTCAGTAACCCTTGGAAGTGGGTGCTGGCCCCTACGCCTCTTTTACAGATGAACGAACTGAGGCTCAGCGGGATTAAAGAACTCCCAAGGGCACTGAGCTGGGTTTAAGATCAAGTCTCTGGATGCCGTGGGGAAAAAATAACACTGCATTGAGATTCAGCGTGCAATTAGGACGCGCACAGGGCAGCTTGGTGGGGGTTTGACACCCTGGAGGTGATAGACAGGCCAACAGAGATGAAAACGGGGTGTCTGTGTACCACCTGGGCCCGTGCCAGCGGATGCTGAGAAGAGAGAAGGAAGACAGATACTATCTGGCTGTAGGGAACGGTTCTCAAGGGCAGAGGCAGCCCCGCAGGATCAGGGAAGGACAAGCCAGGTGGAGAGAGGTGTGTGCAGAGGCTCCAAAGAGCCCCTGCCCCATTCTCAGTCCAGGGAGCCCCCCAAAGCTTCCTCTGCCTGCCCCCCCACCCCGTGCCCCCTGAAGCCTCATCAGCCATCCCAAATCTGCCTCCCATACCTCCTTCCCTGGCCTCAACGACCCCCTGCCCTCTCTGCCCCCCCACTAACTCCCCCTGTCATGTATTCCTCCCAGCCTCCCCATCACCACCACCCCCACCTGACCTTTGCCTTCTAGAACTCCTGGAAGTTTCCAACTGGAGGTTTTAATTTGAAAACTCCTCCTGTTCTTAAGCAGTTGGTGGGGTGGCAGCTGCAGCCGCTCCCTCTGAGTCAGGGTCTCTCTCAGGATGGAGGCCCCAGGTCCAACCCCTCAGTCCCGAATTTTGGGCCACTCCTCCATGTTCCTTTTTTTCCGTAGTCTGGTGGGGAGCAGGGGCAGCCCCAAGAGCTCGGACAAGGGCCTGATGCGGAGTCGGCCATGCCCCTCCCAGGAGCAAAGCACCACCCCTCTGATGAGGAACCGCCAGGGAGGAGCGGGGAGGAAGGAGCCAAGGCAGCCAGCCGCACTGCCCTACATGCTCTCTGTGGCCTTGCCATGGCATGATCCCTTGGGGCTAGGGATGGGGGACACAGGGGCCCAGAACCCCACCCCAAAGGAGGTCCTGAGGGTGGCAGCCCAGGGTGGAGAGGTGAAGCCCATCCTGTCCAGGGGAAGCCAGGAGGTGCTGGGCAACGTGTCCAAGAAGGAAAAAAGAGAAGAGAAGGAGGCAGTAGGGGAGGCCTCCGGGGATACAAGGACCTCAGACAGGTGAGGGGCTGGGCTATGTGAGTGGTGGGCAGGGGCCTGGGATGGGGGCACTGGGGCAAGGATATGGGGCAGAGATGGGAGGACCCAAATTGAGGAGGGCCCAGGAATGTGGGTCTTCATATGGGTAGAGGACTGGAATAAGGCCCCTAGCTCTGTAGGGAAGGGACAGGTACATCAAGGATGGGAAGGAGCCTGGAGGCCAAGGGTGGGCCAGGAGAATAGGAGGAGAGTCTGGGGGGAGGGAACCAGAGATGGGGTGGGTCTTCCCACAAGTCAGAGGTTGTGGGTGGAGGCACCCAAGGTGAGAGAGGACCAGGCTGCCATTTCTTCCCAGCTCCTTCCTGGTCCCCACTCCACCCTGCCTCCCCCCCCCCCACTCTCTCCCTCCTGTTTCCCACTCCCATTTGGACCTGGCACCACTCCCTGTGAGAAAGGGGGCCCACCCCTGTATGATGAAGACCTCAGAGGACCAAGCAGGGAACTGTTGGAGGCAGGAGGGAGGAATGGCTGAGCAGAGCCTGAGGGAGGTCCTTGGGGAGTTTGGGGGTTTAGGGAGCCTTTGCCATGTCTCTGGCTCCGCCTGCCACCCCCATCTGACTATGCTTTGGAGTCAGGGGCCACTTTGCCCAAGCCTTGGAGGTGAAACAAGGATGCCCACAGAGGGCCATGGGGCCACCGGAGGTCAGCCCCAAGACCTTCACCAGGGAGGAGGAGAAGGAGTGTCTGCTGGACGGTGAGTGCGGTGGCCACAGGCATTGGGGCAGTGCCAGAAATAGGCCCTCTTCCTCAGACTCCTCAGGGGTGTGGGGCCTGGAAGGACACAGAGTGGTTTGAGGGAGTGCTGGGGGCAGGCTGCCTGGATTTGAGAACATTCCATCGCACTATGCCAAGCTGTGGGACGGGGCCATGTTGCTCAGCCATTCTGTGTCTCCATTTCCTGATCCATAGAGTGAGCATGGAACAGTATCCACATTGGAGGGCAGTGGCAAGGAGTCCATGAGATGCTCTTTGCAGGGTGCCTAGTACTGTGCCTGGCACATAGGAGGTGTTTGCTAAGAAAACAAGGGACCTCACCCTCGCTTCAGCCCACCTAGTGCCCCTGCCCCCCTGGGCCTAGCTAGGCCTGGGCTGCCCCTTGTTCCCATCTGCCTGCTGGTGACACTGCCCCTTCACAGGAGACTTCAGGCTGGCCTCCTCGAAGGTGGGGGCAACTCCTTGGAACCGCCTCCTCACCTTGTACAAGCAGCTTCAGAAATCAGCCATGGCCAAGGTCTGTGGGTGCAGGCTGGGGCAGTGGGGGAGACAAGGGGGTTGGGGGGAGTGGGTGGTAAAGCCTGGGTGGGGTTCCTCCCTCCATTTGGCTGGGCCCCAGAATTTGTGGCTTGGGCAGATCACTCTTTACTTTTGGGGAGCTGTACCCTCCTGCTTTTTGTTTTATCTTGGGGGTGGGGGGGGGGCTACAGGCTTGGGTCCGTGTTGTCCTCCCCTGATCAGCTGCGGGGCATGCCCTCAGTTTCCTCTCAAGGAAGGCTTGCCTGATGAGAAAAACAAGGAAAAGGAAATGGAGGTAGAGGACAGGTCATTCAAGCTCTGTGTCCCAGGCATTGTCACCCTGCAGTCACCGCTGCATAAGACTTTCAGGTCAACAGACACAGTGGGTAAGTGCAGCCGGCAACCAGCTCTCAGGCCCAAGGGCTACCCTTGGCTGGGGCTCATGGGTGTGATACCAGTTCTTACCACCAGGTGGGACCAGAGGACCTAAGATGACCACTGGAGTTGTGGGTTGGGGCAGGCGGGCCGGTGGTGGGGGGGCAGGAGGGGGGACCTGTGGGTGGCTCTGCTGGAGAAGTCTAGCTAGTCCTCCTTTCTCCTGGTTTGGGAGGGCATGAGGTGGACTTGTGCTCCAGGAGCATCACCCTTTCCCAGCCCAGACTTCTAACTTGTTCAGTGGCCTGAGCAAGGACAGTATAGCCTAACACAATCCCATAACATGGTCACTGTTGACATTTGCGTAGCCATAACCATAGGTCAGACCCTCTTCTGAGCATTTGTCATGAAATGCCATGTCACAGCTCTGTGATAGGTCCTCCGTTATAATCTCTACCTCATAGTCAGGAAGCAGAGTCACAGAGAGGTTAAGTAACTTGTCCAGGGTCACACAGCTAGTACGTGGCAGAGCTGCGACTTGAACCTCAGCAACTGGGGTAGTCCCTGATCCTTGCTCTTGAGTCAGTGGCTGGTGAAAGGTGGGGGCAGATGTCTGCGCCTCGCATGCTCTCCCCAGGAGGTGAGGAAACTCACACTCAAACATGTAGGAGGGAGCCCACTGGCCAGTAAGTTTCTGGGGGAAGTTGGGGAGGGGGGGGGGGGGGGGGGGGGGGAGGTGGTACATGGCCGGATCCGGGTAATGGAAATGTAGGCACTGGGGCTGGGGGTGACCAGGGACTCCCCAGGGCTGGGATGAGTCCTGGAGAGCCCGAGCCATCTCTTCTTCCTTCCCTCCCCAGCAGGTTGTTCCACCCTCTCCTGCCTGCCCCATGCCCATCTCTCTGCCTCGCAGGTTTCGTGGAGTCGGAGTTAAAGAAGCTTCTGGCAGTGCAGCGGGACTCCCGCCTCTGGAAGGTGGGCAGCCATGATGGCCAGGAGCTGCTGACCAAGCCAGAGATCACCCTGGAGGACGCGGGCATTGTGGACGGTCAGGTATGCCCCAGCCTGTCCCAGACCACCACCCTCTGCCTGAGGCCTCTGGAGAAAGTGAGGCCTCCCACCTCCGTAGGCCCCTGGCCCTGGCTCCCACCTCCCCCGGCCTGGGTAGGGACAGCAGAACCCCTTCCTGGTGGTGGTATTTCCGAGAGTAGGAGGCTGACCCCCTCACACACACAGTTGTTTGTTTGTCTCTCCGTCTCTTACTTAACCCCATGATGTTGCTCTTTTTCTCTTTTCTCTCCCATTCTTGCCCACACTGACTCCCACAAACACTCGTAGGCTACCCATCCATGTCGCTCCACAGACCACCCGCTGCCCACCCTCCTTGACACTGGCCTTCAAGCTCAGGCCTGTTCCAGCTTCTCTGAGTGCACACAGACAGATCAGTTGCAGGAAAATGTGTCGATGGCCTTTAAAATTAATTTGCATTCATTCATCAGTTCATTCTTTCATTCTGTGGACATGTGGCCCTGACAGTCTATGTAGTTTCCTTTTGTAGGAAAATAAAAGAAAGAGCGTAGGGTTCAGAGGCCAAGGCTTTCGCTGAAGCCCTGCGCTGGCCTGGATTTGCTCTGTGGCTTTGGAGAAAGGCCTTGGCTTCTTTACCTGTAAAAGGAGCCTGGTGGGAGGACCAGACAGCACTTGATCTTAGCCAAAAGGCCCAAGTGACTGAAGGATCAAACAGGAAGGAGAGGGGATGCCTGCCGGCTGTCAAGGGCACTATGGTGTTAAGGATGTGACTTACCCCTTCGGGGAGTGAATACCTGTATCACCCACCCCTGGGGGCTCTGAGGGGCAGCTCTCTCATTGTCCTGAGCCTGCAGACCTGAGTCACTGGTCCCTCCATGCTCTAGGGAACGAGGCTGTGCACCTTATCCTGAACCACACGGTGGCCGAGCTCTGGCAGGGGCCTGCACTTTTGTCTTTTCACATTAAGGGGATCTCTCGTCACCCTTCCCGCCCTCTTCTCTTCCCTCTCCCCTCCAGAACCACCTTTGAGCCAGCCTGCCCCGTCTCAGGGGTAGGGGGTCACACTCCTGGGGTAGCCTGAGCGGCACTGGGGGTCCCTAGGGAGTTTCTGGGTAGTGGCAGGTCGGGGCCCAGCTCTGGCCTCATGTGGGGGACAGAGCTGCCTCAGGGCTATCTTCCTGCTGTGGGTGTTTCGAGGGTCCTATCCTCATCACAACCCCCCACTCTCTCCTTATCTACCCTCAGAGATACCAGGCTGAGGGGGAAAGAAGCCGCCCCCCAGCCTTTGGGGAATGCTGGGGACCTAGGGGAGGGGTGCTGAGGCAGCAGAAGCAACACCCTAGGCTGGAGGGAAGGGTGCAGAGCCCCCTTGGTGTGGTGTCCAGGACAGAGGTGAGGGAGGGGAGGGCTTGGCTCGGGTGACTGACTCCTGGGGCTTCCAAGGACCCCACCCCTCACGAAGTTGGAGGGAGAAGGGGCCCTCATTTAGTGGGAGGGAGGTGGCTCAGGGCTGTGGGGCCACAGGGGAGGGTCTGGAATGGCCTCAGGGTGCTTATCTCTGGGGGGTATGTGGGAAGCTTCTAGGGGTACAGAGCCGGAAGGGGGAGCCCGAAGGCGCTGAGGCCTCTTTCTTCACCCATTTCTGCCCCCAGCACTTGCTCCTGGAGGAGATGGACGAGCTGGGGAACTGGCCCCCCGAGTGAAGCTGCTGCCGCCCCGAGTCTGCCCTGCTCACGGATCCCTGCAGCCCGAAGCAGGAGTTAGCCTCCCACTCTGTGGAGGCACATCCGAGGCGCCCCCAGGGCCAAGGGATCTTGAGATCACTGGTATCCATGTGTCCGCAGGGTGGGCCTGCCCAGCAGAACATCCCCACCCATCAGACTCAGGCCTGGGTTATTAATAATAAAACCCACTTTGACTTTGGCCTCCTTGGCTGTTTCTGGACCCCACCCCTCAGCCTCAAGCTAGGAGCAGACTCAGGTTAGCCAGGGTCTCAATCTAGCCCCCAGGGTAGTAACCCCCATTGCAGACCCCCGAGTTCCAGTGGAGGGGCCACAGTGTGGCTTTGGAGCCAGAGGACAAGACCTTTGGTGCACCTGACCCCGGGGGTGGGGAAGGACTGGGGGTGAGAGTGCCAGGAAAGCCCGTGCTACCACAGGACTAGACTCTGTTAGGGGGAGCATCCTTGACTTCCCTCCCTTCTGAGTTCCCAGGCCATCTCGGCCTTGGAGTGGGGGGAGCGGGGAGGATCCGGGAATTCTCCAGCAGGAAGTTGCTGCCCAGCCAGCCCAGAGACAAAGCCAGGAAAGCAGCCTTGGGGCCATAGGGACCTGCTGGAGGGCTGAGCTGGGGGCAGGTAAAGGGTCCCCAGGACGGGGGGTGTTGCAGAAGGGTTCCCTGATATGGAGGTGGGGGTGGGGCCCCATCCGGCTACCCCTGGTCACAGCCCTTCTATACCATAGTCAGTGCCAGGTACCTCACAGGGATCCTGGTCAGAGGGAGATCCAGACGTCTCGAAGATCCAAAGGCAAGGATAAGCTTGAGTCAGGGGCACATAAGGCCGTGTCCGTACTGGCCACGGAACGGGGCACCCTCATACCTGACTTTTTGGGGATCCAGTAGAAGGGCGGGCCGGGTCCAGTTTGGACACCAGGAGTTGTTGTTCGCCTGGAATCCTTGACTCAGGCTCTGGGCTAGGGGCTGGTGGAAGGGCCATCTGACTCTCCCCTGAGTCAGCCAGGAAGCAGCCTTGTGACACTATGACTCACCTGTGCCCTAATTATTTCCTCCCAGAGTGTTGGCTGTTGGGAAGGGTGGGGGCCTTAGACAGCGGCCTGTGGGGGTTCCCTGGTTCCACCTGGACCCTTTGATCTCCCCCAGCACAGATGTAGCACCCCCCTATGGTCCCCATGGAGGGGAGACCTTCTCTCCCTCCCCCATCCTAATAAGCCCGTGACCTTGTGCCAGGCCATGTCCAGGCTTGCATGGGGATTCCCAGGGCCCAGAGCGCTATAGGACAGAGCTTCTGCCCTCCCCCATTGCTCTCCAGGTGGGGCCAGCCAATGGAGTGCCCAAGCAGCCCCACATTGGCTTGGGGTAGGCTGGGCCCCCGCTGGCAGCTCAGGCTCCTTGGCTGCCTGTGTGAGACAAGTGGCCCCTGGGGACCGAGCATCTGATCCTCAGCCCCCATGAGGGTTGGCTTCTGGGGAGCAAGGGGGCAGGAACCTTCATTTAGTACGGGAGACTCAGAAGTGATCATTCCCCTCTCTTCTTCTCTCTTTCCCTTTCTGTCAAGTAAGGGTCGTGCCACATCCTCGTCCCCCCAAACCCCCCAAACAGAAGGTAGCCTGTGAGAGCAGGAAGAGGGTGTGCACACTGGAGCAGGCATGAGGGCCTTGTCCCAGCCCCTTGGAGTCCTCGGCAGGTTTCTGTGGATGGTCCCGGCTTGATACTCATGAGTGACGAAGGCAGGGGTGACGTGGCTCAAGGACCTGTTGTGGGGGAAGGCCCAGCAGATGAGTGCAGAGGCTGGGCTCGGGCTCACGGCCCACATGGAGAGAGCTGGGCATTTCCCAGAAGCTTCCAGGGACCACTATAGGCACGTCTTGTGGGTCAGACCTGAGGACCCGCTGGCTGGCATTGAAAGTGACCCTCCTCCAACACACACAGTGAGGGAGGGCTGCTATGCACTGCCCTGTGTGTTGGGTCCTGCACCAGTATGCTTGGCTCAAAGGCCAGAAGGTTCTGGAACCCAGACAGGGTGCCTCTCTCTAATTCACTCTGAAGGGCCAGTCAGGTTGGCAGTGGCCCTGGGCCATCCTGCAGGTTTGAGGGGAGCCATTACTTCCAGAACTTGCCAGATCTCAGTTCCTTTCTGGGCTTGTCATCTCTCCCATCTTCTTCTGTTTTTCTCTGTTGTCTCTGCATGTGTGTTTCTGTTTCGTGCTCCCTCACCCTCCACCATGCGTCTCTTCCTGTGTCTCTGTCTCTTTTTCACTGTATCTCTGGAGGCATAGAGGTAAGAAAAGCAACCCCCAGATTATTCTCAGGGCATTTTTGGGACCCAGAGGTGGCTGAAAGAAAGGGGGAGGGGAGTAGCTGAGGAGGGGGTACAGATGGTCCCAGGGAAAAGTGGTCAGGGTCAAAGCTGGGCCTGCCTTCCTGGGGAGTGGGTAGGGTCTCTCTCCCTGCAGGCTCTTGGGCAGGACCTTTGAGGAAGATGCTGCCTGTGCCAGGTCCAGAGTCACTGGTTGTCAGTCTTGCCTATCCCCAGGAAAGGGAAGGGCAAAACCACCTGTATTCTTTTCCAGGTGGGCAATGAAATGGAGAACAGAGAGGCAGAGAGGAGAGACTCATCTGGTTGGAGCCCCAGCTCCAATGCGGACAAGTTCATGTGACCACAGACAGGTCCCATACTTCTGTGAATCTCAAGTTTCTGCATCTGTGAAATGGGCAACTCATGGGGGCTTCTTATGTGGGCTGAATGAGTGCTATTTGGCATCGAACAAATACTTCTCAAGCATCTACTACATCCTGTTCCTATTCTAGGCACTGCAGAATAGAGCAGAGAACGAGATGTACAGAACTTTTTTTTTTTTTTAGCATTTTATTATATTGCTAGAAGGATAGACAATAAACAGATAATACATCAGGGAGTGACAAGTACTGTGAAGAAAGATGAAGCTGGGTAATGCGATGCTGTTTTAGATCTGAGTGATGGGGTGGGCAAGGCAGCTCTAAGGAGATGATGTATAAACAGGGATGGGAGGAAGGGAGGGGGTGAGCCATGGGGGTGTTGGGGAAAGGGCATTCCAGCAGAAGGGACACAAGTGCAAGTGCCCTGAGGCACTGGCTCCTGTGAGGAACCAGAAGAAGACCCTGTGGCTCAGAGGGAGAGGAGTGAGTGGGAAGGGGAGGAGTAGGAGGTGAGGTCAGGAGGGAAGGAAGAGGACGTGTATTTTGCCCAGTTGGGCTTTTTTCTAGGGCTTATTTGATCAGTGCAAGGAGTGACATGACGTGGCATACGGTTTAAAAGTCTTCCTTGGGGGGCCCCTGGGTGGCTCAGTCGTTAAGCATCTGCCTTCCGCTCAGGTCATGATCCCAGGGTCCTGGGATTGAGCCCCACGTCAGGCTTTGTTCTTGGTGAGAAGCCTGCTTCTCCCTCTCCTGCTCCCCCTGCTTGTGTTCCCTCTCTTGCTGCTCTCTCTGTCAAATAAATAAATAAAATCTTTAAATAAAAAAATAAATAAATCTTCCTGGCTGCTGAGGGGGGAAAAGACTGTGGGGATCAGAGACTGAAGCAGGGAGGCAGGTGGCCTCACTGGCGGCTGTAATTATTACAAGGGGACTGGGGGGTTGCTTGGGGGGATCTCTTTCACCACGTAGCGCCCTCTGGCCCGAACTTCTGTGCGGTGGTCAGCCAGGGGCTCCGCAGGTAGAACCTCCCAGCCCCGCCCCCGAGGAGAGGGGCGGAGCCTGGGCCCGGACAGGGAAAGGCGGGGCGGGGCGGGGCGGGGCTGGAGGCCAGCGGGGCCTCCCTGTGGGGGGCGCCTGTGGGTCACTGCAGAATGAGGGTGGGAGGAGGCGGCTGCTATCTGCCTGGATTGTGTCCACCGAGGCGCGTAGCAAGTGCAGCCTGGCTGCGACCTCCCTGCCTCCTCCACCCCCACCCCCGCCCCGCCCCGCCTCTGGGGTGTGAGTTAACAGCAGACCCCAGCCATGAAAGCAGGTGATGATGTTCCCGCAGTATTGGTTTGGAGACCCCCGCCTGAGAGGAAACCAGTCATTGCAGCAGGGAGGAATCCAGAAGGCTTCAAGGAGGAGGCACCATTTGTGATTTGGGCTTGCAGGGGAAGCGGGAGGCCATGCCTGCCAGGAGAACCCCGTGGTAATGGGACAGTGTCCAGTCGCCACCACAACCCCAGGGTCCACCCCCTTGAACCATTCTGGACTCCTCTCCTGGGCCTCCTGTTCAGTCCACCTGTTCATGTGTAGTCCTTTCTCCCTGCCCTCCATCCCTCTTCATGCGTGCTCTCTCTGTTCCTTTCCTGGGGCCCCAAATCACAGCCACAGCTTCCCTGGCTTCTCAGAGCTGCTGTGCCCCCCACTGCCAGGTCTTCCGTGGTCCTCCCCTCTCCCTCCCCCACCCCGGCCCCCGCGGTAACTCCTGCCCCTCCCTTACAGCTCAGCTCCAGCACCTATGCTCCTGGAGCGCCACATCTGCCTGGCTCTGGGTGACCAGGATCTGCGAGTGCAGCTGCTCTCCCCTACCCAGGACTGATATACTATAAGGACAGGCCCTGGGGGGCTTGGTCTCCTCGACAGCCATGTCAGCTGAGGTGGCTGGTGCACAGTAGGCTCAACACATGCTAGATTGGTGGGGGGGAGGTAGATGGGGGGGGGGGGGTATATTGCTGGAGAGACAGGCGGGGGGCCAGATTGTGTAGGACCACTCAGATCGTTCTAAATGGCTTCACGTTTATTCCCAGGGCCCCTGGAGCCACAGAGTGCTCAAAGCTAGGAGAGTGGCCTTGTCAGATGCACCGTGGAGGGTGGAGTAGAGAGGACAGGGGGCTGATTGGCCAATTAGGAGGCTGTCACAACTGTCATAGTGAGAGAGGTGTGGGCCTAAGCTGGGACAGAGGCGGATGGGGTAGACTGGAGGACACTTGGGTAGTCGTTCTCAAATGGGGGCTAGTCTGTC